CCTAAACCCTAAACCCAGTACCCTCAGCCCACAATGGGACGGTCAGTTCTAAGACCGGAGCCTCCTCCCTTCTGAGGTCTCGGGATTCAAAGCAAAAAGCCCGAAGCCTGTGCATGGGGTTTTGCGGTACATGAAAGCATAATCATATTGAGGTAGTATCATCAATTTATCCAGGTTCAGCCTGCGTCCCCCATCAAGAAGCAGCGGCACGGTCATTGCATCCAAGACTGCTGAGGCTTGCAAATGAGTTCCACTGGGGGCACTCGGTACCCACTCAGCAGTCGATCATATTCGCAACTGCAGTCATTGCGGCGGTAGCAAGCTGCTGGGCGAAGCAGCGAAGGTTGATCCCCCCTTCTTCGCCATAAGAGCCGCACAAGTTGAGATATCCGTACTGCAAGGCCTGAATTGCTTGAACCCCAAAGCGGCTGTAGTTCGTGGCATCATAAATCGAACAAGACTGTGAGCTTTACCAGTGTTACTGTTATCTCGGTTGCTGTCATGGTCATTGTCGATGGTGTTGATTTGCTGCTATTGTTGTTGCTGCTGCTGCTGCTGCTGCTGCTGCGTCGTTGCTGTCCTTCTCGCTGGGATTATCGACGGAATTGTCATGTTGGTGACGGTGACAAGGGTGATGTCGGTTGTGATGACTGATGTTGATGTTGATGTTGATGTTAATGATGAAGAAGAAGAAGATGGCGATGAAATGAGAATGAGAAGAACTATGAACAACAGCAGGGGCAACACAAACTGCAACAACCGCGACAGCAGCAAGAACAGCACCGGCCCGAGCGCCAGCGCCAGCCCCAGCCCCAGCGCCAGCACCAGCAGCAGAAACAACAACAGCACCAACAAGAACGGCAGCAGCAGCATCAGCGGCGGTGGTGGCGGCGGCGGCGCAGCAAACCACCCAACCGCCACCACCAAGACAATCCGGCAACAACCACAAACACAACCACAGCAGCAACAACGACAACGACAGCGACAGCGGACAGCTGACAGCGGACAGAAGCAACAGCAAAACAACCACTGCGACCACGACGACGCCCAGAAGACCACTTAAAACACAAGCATCTCAGGGTTATCTCTGTCTGTGATTGTGTTTATCCCGCACATGTAGGATTCTTGTGTTTATGTGGGTTTTGCGGACCTGATCCCAAGCGCCATGATACAGGCTCAGGGTTGAGGGTTTCAGAGTTTCGGGCTGAGGGTTCAGGTCAATTGCGGGCTCCAGGTGCCATCATGGTGTTTCGAGTGATTCAAGAGCTGGTCTGCGAACAGAGGCCGGAAGAACCATGGGTTGAGGAGTTTAGGGTTTAGGGCACCTCAGCTTGGAGAGAAAAAGGCTGTTCTGGCAATCTGCTACGGCCTGGTTCGTGCTCTAGTTCGGAATTTCGGAGTTCGAGTTTTTGCAAGGATCGGGCAGTGAAGGGTCAGGCATCGCAATTTGTGTGCTTTGCCGGTTACCCCTTTTAAGGAACCCATTCTATTTTTTAAGGCTCCTAAACACTAAATAAAAACTTGAACCCTTTTAGGGCTTAGGGTTTAGGGCTAAGGGATCCTACACAACCCTTACACCCCAGTCCCTAACCGATGGCCTACCGCAGGCCAGCCGCGAAGTGAGCTTGGAGGACTATAGCCCAGGCCTTTGCAAAGGCGGTGAAAAAAACAACGATGCCTCGAGAATTTTGAGCTCTTTTTTGCATACGAGTTGTATCAGGGTTCTGTGGGCCATACTAAATGCAACAGGGCTTTCGTGACAGATCAAAGTACACTTAGAAAGGGTCTGTCATGGGATAAGAGATTGCGTACCAGAGGCATTCGAAAGTTCCAGTCCCTTAAGGCAAATCCCTAAAGGCTGAAGCCTCACATCCCCTAACACCAAACCCGGAATAGCGGTACCTTGTCTAGGGTTTAGGGTTTAGGGTTTAGGGTTTAGGGTTTAGGGTTCTAGGGATTGCTCATAGTCAGGATCTTGGAATCTGAGTCTATGGCAGGGACATTTTTTGCGAGACACCTGCATGTTTATCAGTGTTCCGAAACCAGAACCCCTGCAGCCTTTGTCTGGGAATTGAACTATAGCTTCTTCGGTCCTCACGCTTTTTGCAACTACTCCACCTCAGCCCGATACCGTAAGCATTAATTCCTAAACCGCAAACCATAAACCCTAAACCCCAAACCTTAAACCCTAAACCCGAAACCTTGAACCCTAAACCCTTCCCATGGTTGCAATTCTAGGAGTATTCCGGAAGCCTGAGTCTGACTGACAATGTCTTCCCCAAAACGGTTTGGAGTTTAGGGTTTACAGTGTCTTCCCCAAAACACATCCCAGCCCAGCCCCGACCCACCACCACCCGACCCGAACCCGCCCAGACCGATCCCAGACCAATCGAAGACCAGCTGACGACCAGGTATGATCCAGCCCGAATCCGAACCCAAGTTTTGACTCCTAACAGCCGCATGGAAGAGCACAATTTTCACGGAAGTTTGACCGCTGGCACTGCTTCATGGCCTGGCTTCATGACGGCTAGCGACTACAGTGTCGCAGTGGTTGTCAGCTTTTGTATCAGTTGTCTTCTCGTGCTGGCTGCAGAATCCGGACGCAGCAGCCTGAACCCGAGACTTGCTGTGATGGCGAACCCAATGGGTATATCATACCATATCTATATAGGAGCGGTTAGGGTATACTGTTCGAACTGTTTCGGTCGACAAGGGAAGGAGCAAAGCGCATATCATCGTGAACTTTGCACTGCAGCTTTTTGGTTTAAGCCTTTCTTTGAAGCCGAATGTGCAATTGCACCCCACCCAGAATTGCCGGCCACCGGGACATCATTTGAATTTTAACGACCATGCTTGTTTGGAGAAGCGATGATTGCATTCTTTTGCCAGGTGCGTGTGCAACCAAGAGTTGCAATTTGTCTTTCGGAGCCACTGCATCGAACAAAACCCAACCTACTCAACCCTAGGCACCTAAACCCTGCTGAATGTCGTTTGGTATCCTGGCCTGTGCTGGAGGCTTGCACAGCGGTGGCTTGGGAGGGTTGAGTTGGCAGCAGAGAAACATGTCCTGAGCCCGTTAGCAGCGCATCCGCCAAGATCAACACACTCACAAACGTATCCGTGTTCAGGTGATGCACATGCATATATCATATATACAGATATATACATACACACATACACACATGTATGCCTCCACACATCCCTTTCTTCGCTGGTAAACCTACAGACGTCGTTCTTTCTGTTTATCTGCCATAAGCCTGCAGCCGTTTGTATGGCCCCCACCGCTGCACGTCTGCTTTTCTTCGCGTATGTTTCCATCTACGTATCCTTACACACAGCTCCATCGTTTCCGGTCTGGTGGCTCCGCGTCTCCGTCTTTCTCTCTCCCTCTCTCTCTCTTCCGCTCTCGCCCCTCTCTTTCTTTGCTCGCTCGCTCGCTCGCGCTCCCTCTATCTCTCTCTCCCTCCCTCTCAGTTTCTCTCACTCTCTCTCTCTCTCACTCTCTGTCTCTCTCTGTCTCTCTCTGTCTCTCTCTGTCTCTCTCTGTCTCTCTCTGTCTCTCTCTGTCTCTCTCTGTCTCTCTCTCTGTCTCTCTCGTTCTGTATGTGCGAATGTGGCATGCAAGCATTTGCCATACCTGTGCGCAAACATATTATTCACGTGCACATATGTGTGTTTGAATATCTTTTTATATATACATATATATATATATATATAATATATATATATATATATATATACATACATATATATATATATGTGTATACACATAAACGCACACATTTTGTTCACATACCGTGGGATAGTCTTACAGCTGAATCGCGAGGCATGAGATGCTGATTTGTTGGTTTGGCTAGCTTTGTCTGGGGTTTAGGGTTTAGGGTTTAGGGTTTTGTCGGTCTGACTTTCTTCCTTTCTGTTCCTGTGCAGATTGCTACACTGTCATCGCCAGATAGGGTTTAGGGTTTAGGGGTTGAGGGTTTAGACTGTATAAGCGTAGACGGTACCAGTCCTCGACATTTTGTCCACACCCTGATTGCCTTCACCTTGGTTGCTTGAAAAACCCTAAACTGAGCTCTGACAGTAGTTGAGATGGTTTTCATAACAACCCTCTCTTCACCTTACCCTAAACCCTGAACCCTAAACCCTAAACCCTAAACCCTAAACCCTAAACCCTAAACCCTAAACCCTAAACTAAACCCTAAACAATTTCTCTAAGCTCTAAACCGAGCTCTAAACCGGAAAGCTCTGCACTGCCAGGATGAGCCCAGTGCTGGTCTCTCCAAGCCAGCCGACCACTCTTGCCCTTACCTCGAGCCTTCGATGATGAACGAGGTGCCACGGCTTTTCTCAATATCCAAAGACCCATAAGCCCTAAGCCCTACACTCAAAAGCCGAAATACAGGGTTTGGGTTGGGTTTAGGGTTTCGGGGTAGAGGCCTATGGCGGAGAGAGTGATAAGGCCAAGATACTTCGAATTGAGCATTTTTGCCATCGCACTCGCCTTCTCCGAAAGACGGAAGCATAGTAAATTGTACTTCCGACATCGTTCTCACACCCCTACACCTGAATCCCCCAACCCTTAAACCCTAAACCCCTTATCCCCGTAACCCTGAGCCCTCAACCCCTAAATCCTACAAATGTCAATGTCAGCGTTTCGAAGGCCACCCACAGCGGTTTCCTAGAGCCGAGACACTGAAACCTGCAACATGAAATTTTCGGGTCTAGGGTTTAGGGTTTAGGGGTTTTAGGGTTTAGGGTTTAGGGTTAAGTTTCGGGAAATAGAAGATAGCGGTAGGGTCTAGCATGAAGGTAAAGATGGCATCGAAATGGGACATGGCATCACTAGAGAGGTAAAGTTGAAATCACAGTAGCAGAGACTCTGTCATCGTTCTGTCCATGGTATACTGTTGTAATCTCTTGTTAAAGTCCTACCAACTGTTCTTCTCATCTCTCGCATTGTTACTACTACTACTACTACTACTACTACTACTACTGCTACTACTACTGTTACTACTACTACTACTACTACTACTACTACTACTACTACTACGATGATATCTCCCACCATACCTCTGCAGCCGGACTGCATGGATGCGTAACCCGAAGCCCAACCCTAATCTCATCCCAAGCTCGATTCTTAGACCGCGCGCTACACCCCAATATCTAGACCGTAGGCACTAAGCCTGCAGTATAGCAGTGCACCTTTGGGGTGTTTAGGCTTTGGAGCTGCTTCAATCCGAAGAGCTTCACCGTCCTTCAGACGGCTCAGCCTCTAGAAGCCAAGCCCAGCCCGCACTTGGGGGGTCGGGGACTTAGTAAATGCTTACTTTATAGACTTATAAGTACTACAACCCCAATTAGGGTCCCTTTTAGGGTACTTATAAGTCTACTTATTTCCTACTTACTAAGTCTCCCGACCCTCCAAGCAATCCTCAACACTTAAGCTTGGACACCACCAGACCCGACTTGCTCAGAACGGGAATTAGAGAGATGATATGGGCAGTTCTCTAAATTAGGGTTCCCTTTTTTAGTCTAGGTCCCCAATATAGTACGGCGCTCTTATAAACTGGGCCCTAAAAGGGACAATAATTTCGAGAACTACCCCCTTTTTTTCGGTTGCTGGAGATCAGGGCTTCATCTTGGGGCATTTTGGGGTTCGTGGTTGGGTGGTAGGTCTGCTGCAGACCTTGAGAGTTTTAGGGTGTTTTTGGTTGAAGTAGACCCTAAACCCTAAACCCTAAACCCTAAGATACTGAAGTAGACCCTAAACCCTAAACCCTAAACCCTAAGATAGTGAAGTAGACCCTAAACCCGAAGCCCAAGGTCCCAGTGGCACAAGTGAAAACGAGCCGAAATGCTTCGGCCACTATGGCCTTCCAGAAGTACCGCGCGAGCCCTGGTCCCCACCTATCTTTAGGGCGAACCAGTTAGGGTTTGTGAGGGTTTAGGGTTTAGTTTAGGGTTTAGGGTCTAGGGTTTAGTTTAGGGTTTAGGGTTTGAGAGTTCAGGGGTTAAGGTTTAGGGAGTAAAGCCTTACGGAGTACACCTTGAATTAGTGATACAACTCCTTTCCATCACTTTCCAACACTCGCTGTGGAGCCCGATCATTAACCCAATAGTTCCCTAAACCCTAAACCCTAAACCCTAAACCCTAAACCCCCCCCCCCCAAACCCTAAACCCCCTCGTTCGGGCAAGCGAAACCGGACATTAAACTAGAGAGCTAGCCCAGGAGCCCCTAAAGGTACCCTTAAAAAAACAAAGACAAGGAGACCTTTAAAGGGACCCGTATCGGTCTCCCCCCGTGCTAATGTTCCCGAACCCTCGACCTCGAGTGTAAGACTCTGATGCGATGGCTTTGCAGGAACCTCGGATCCTGTGAATAAAGTTTCGAGTTCAGGGTTCAAGGCTGTAGAACTGAGGATTTGAGGTTTAGGGTTCACTTCATAGCATCACATGCCTATGCCATTCCATTTGCCATGTTCGGCCACTATACTAAGGCTGAGGGTCTCACAAGATTTAGGACTTGCTAGGGCTTCAGGGGATGCACTTCTCACCTTCAGTGTTCAGGGTTCAGGGCTCTCGGAATTCGACTAATGACTGCAGGGTTCAGGATGTTTGGTTTAGTGTTCATTGCTTTGGGGGTGCAGTGTGAAATATCTTTAGGGTCCACGACCGTGCTTAGCCACTGCAGCAGTTGCCTTCAACATTGCACAGGAGTTCTGGGTTCCAGAGCAGGGGAACATGTTTGATACGTTTTGCAGACTCTTTTTGATGTTGGGTTGATTCAGATCTTTGTGGGCATTCAGGCATCTTGCGGCACCCGGAAAAACACCGGAGGAAAGTACAACATACGGCGCCCGCAAACAGATCCCCTTTCCCACTGCATACATGTACATACATGTACAATTACACTGCATGTATGATTATGTATACATACATATATATATATATATGCATATGCACAAACATACATATTCACATACTCGTGCACAGAACAGAGATGTTACTCTGATGCGACATCATGTTACTTTGCAGTGCAAAAAGATGTATATCCCGCATCCCAGCCTGCGTGAGGTCAGGAGGCAGAGCAGAACGATGAAGATGCCTGGAACCCAATCAGTACTGTATCATGACGGTGATGGCGGTGATGAGGATAGCGGTGATTGCATCGATGTCTGTTGACATTTTTGTTGGCCGCATTTTGCAGAGCGGCTTCCACACTTTTCAGTGTTTGGTGTTCTGCGAAAATGGTGTTGGAAGAGCATTGGACCCGAGCATTAACGCATGCTTGACTTAAGCAGACAGGCAAGTGCGAGTCCTGATTTACAGATGGCTACTGGGCATGGGATTGGATGTGGATATCGTGGTCCAGCATATTTGTCACCGTTGCTCTTCTGGCTTCTTTGAATTAGTGTGCAGACAGCTGCCCTGACGACGATGCTTTTGATGTTGATGAGGATGAAGACCAAGACAGTGGCGATGCCGACGACGACGGCGCTGACTGATTTTGGCCGTGAAGATGAGAATGGTCTTGGTTGTAGTGGTGGTGTTGGTGTATTGGTAGTTCTGCAGGTGTCGCTGAGGCTTTGATGTTCCGTTCTTGCTGTCTCTGCTGTTGTTATTACTTCCACTACTGAACCTGCTGCTGCAGCTCTTGTAGTTGCTGCTTCTGCTGGTTGGTGCGCTTGTCGCTCCCCCTATGCGCTGTGTTAGTAAGCGTATAAGCTTCAAGACTGCGTTGAGCTTTCCTCTGTTCGCCTAGCTTCTTGGATCCCAGACTGATAGGCTTCGAGGGCAGATGACGGATTTCAAGTTGTCTGTGCTCTCCATCTATGAGCGTTTGCTGTGGCTTCCCAAGACCTGCCCCAAACCCCAACAAGCTCGAGCGCATTTTTTTAGGCCGACTCGCGCGCAAACTACGTGAAGATCAACGTCGAGATTGTGGAGAACAGGTCCCTCGGGGTTTTGGGGGCTCTTGGCTTGAGGTTTAGGGTTTCCCGAAACCTGAAAGCCCCAACTGAGCCCGAACTTTTCACCCTGCGCCTGAAGGATCAGGGCAAAGTGGGATTTGGTCCTTTGTACTTTTGTGAGAAGCGGAACCTCCGAATCTCACACCCTGCTGTAAAGTTTACGGGGCTCTCGTTTGGGGCTTTGTGGATCTGCCGGTTCAAGTTTTAAAGTGGGATTTGGGGCGGTTAGGGTGTGTATAAGGTGCGGGCGCCATGGGTGCGCTTCTTTACGAAGGAGAGGGGGGACCCTGGCGAGCGCTTTGCACCTGCACCTGCACCCTAAACTCTAAACTCTAAACCCGTTTGGGGTTTGGGGTTGGTGAGCACGGTTTTGGGTTTAGGGTCTACGCTTCGTATACCGCAGACCTGAATTTCCGAAGGACCGGTTGTCATGATCTGTCCTTTCTTGGACCCCATGACCGGAAGTTCCTCAGGCCTCAGGCCTAACACATAACATAGGGGCCTGAATAATTAGAATGGGGTTTTGGGGTCTATTGTACTATAATCAAAATAAGGAGCCCCCCAAAACCCTATTCTAATTAGTCAAGCCCCTATATGTGTCAGACGTACTGGAGGGATGGGCACTCAGAACCCTTTCATCCACGCAGATGTACGAACAGGAACAGTCGTTCAGTTCAATGTTTTTTGAGTCACAAAAGCCCAACATCCCATAACCCCTTTTTAATGCAGCCAACAGCCTAAACCTCTATTGTAGCCTTACAGTAAGCCTCAAACATCCTTGAAATAAAGGGGCCTTAATAAATACCTATACTATTTTTGGGGTTCCTTATTATAGTTATAGTATAATATACCCCCAGACCCTAGTCTAATTATTAAGGCCCCAATATTAATTAAAGGAGCCCTGCAGACCATGAGACCCCAAACGAGACACAGCCGCTTGGGTTCGCACAGGTTCCGTGCCAAGCTGCACTTGGAGGTGGCCAAAAGCTTCGGAGTGCCCGGGGCTCGGTGAGGATCTGTTTTGAGTGATAGTAAGCAGCAGCATTAGGGTTTAGGGTTTGGGGTTTAGGGTTTAGGGTTTAGTGTTTAGGGTTTAGGATGTAATAAAAGACGTATTAATAGTCATGCTAGTACTATTAGTACTGGTCATATGGCTTCGTTGAGGATCCTCGTTGAGTTCTAGTACTCCTAAGTCCTTCCGGCTCCACCGTGGAGGCTGTGTTTAGGACTCCACCGCGGATCGCAGGTGTTCCATGATCTTGCGGCGTGTGAGAATCAAGCCATGAAAGATCCGAACCCTGTTAATATAGGAGCCTTAAGAATTAGAATAGGGTTTTGGGGTCTATCATATCATAAATATAATAAGGAACCCCCCAAACCCTGTTCTAATTATTAAGGCCCCTACGTTAGAGTTCAAAATTTCGGGGGGATCTGGTTCTTCAGAGACCTTCCAAAGCACCCTCAACCCGAAAGGCTTTTAAGCTCTGAGCCCTACAACCGCCCTAATGTAGGGGCCTTATTAATTAGAGTCGGGTTGTGGGGTTCCTCATTATTATTATTATTATTATTAGTATTATTATTATCATTATCATAATATAACATACCACAAACCCCATCCCAATTATTAGGGCCCCTATAGCAAGTCTACTGCGCCCCAGAGGCCCCCTACTGTGTCACCCTCGCCTCCCAAGGCCTCCCTAAACCTTGCACTCTAAATCCTAAACTCACATCAAACCCCAGAACCTAAACCCTGATGCTTGAACCCTGAACTCTGAAGCCTAAACCTTAAGCCCTAGACCCTAAACCCCAAATCCCCAAAGACTCAATCGTGCCCAGGTTTGGTCCGACGCGTGAGAGCAGACCTGAAGCCATCAACGACGGGGCCGGACATACCATAAGGACTCCTTTAAGGGTTCTATATAGGGGTTCTTAGGTTTCGAGGGGCAGGCAGACGGCCGTGGGTTGGGCCGATCAGTACATGGAATCTTGAGTTGTGCGGCTGCTATTTGGTTGGTGTGGTTGGGATTCGATTTGTACGGCTTCGGTTTTAAGCATTCAGATTGAAGGCTTTAGGCTTCCAGGGATGAAAATGTTAGGAAAAGGCGCTTCGAGTTCCAGAGCGTAGGACTCGGTGCTTGGGGTTGGAGGACACTTTGTCCTGACCAGAAGCTTGATCTCCAAACCCGAACGCCCCCAAACCCAAAACGCCCCAAAACCGCCAGAAACTATCGAAAACCCCGAAACTCCAAACCGTTCTGCCTGTGAGCAGCCCTTCCAAACCTTTGTCGGGCTTCTGTGAGGCTTGTATGGGGCTTTTTTTGGGGTGTGAAAGAGTTTTTACAGGGCTTCAACTAAAAAGTTTTAGACGTCGGGATTTAAGGGTTCCAAATTAAGAGCTTGTATGGGTTCAGGCCCTCAGCCCTACGTGCGTTTTAGGGTTTAGGGTATAGGGTTCAGGGTTGAGGGGTATAGGGTTGAGGGTCTAGGGTAAAGGGTTTAGGGTTTAGGGCTTAGGGTCTAGGCGCTTCGGGCTTGGGGTTTTAGGATCTCGCAAGCTCACAAGCCCCATTTCTTCACTCCACAAAACTGGAACGATGAAGCTTGACCTAAACCGAAAGCTTGAACTGCAAACCGATGATTTGAATCCTAAACCCGAAGTCATATCATATCATTCCCATGCCACAACACCGCTACAACCTTTAAGTTCTACATGCTAGAACCCCGCAAAGCACCCTATCTAAACCCTCAGAACTGGCAACGATATCACCTTATCGTCACTATCACTAGGTATCCGTACTTGAAGGTCGAGCTGGGGCGCGCCTTCGTCGCAGATGGTGCCGCGGGCGCCCGACGCGTGGCCGTGGCTTTGCAGGAAATCATGGTAGAACCCAGTATAGAACCCTCCCCAAAGCCTTGGAATGTTAGCTTTTATAGATCTGCAGGTCCGGGTTTCGAACTTGAGTTCAGGGCTCCGGGCTTGGTGATGGAGGATTTGAGGGTTCAGGGGCTCTAGGTCCTTGTGGCTTAAGGTCTTGGGGTGTAGGGTGCGTCTAATATACATTCCTGAACTCCGCAATATAGAGGGGCTAAACCTTCAGGACAGGTCTCGGCCCGAGCTCAGCTTGCTGTTACTCCCATTAAGTTTCACAGCCTGCGATGCTCAATCTCACAGCCATGCGTTTCTCTGCCCCTCCACGTGGGAGACCGGGTGCGCCGAGCTGCTCCTTCCAGGGCATGCCTTTCGGCGACGAAGCAGAAAAGGGCCGGCGCATGACCACAACCTTTGATTTGGGATGTTGGCTGCGTTCCACAAGCGCAGGCGCAGGTGTTCGGGATGGGCACTCGATTGGCAACTGACTGGAGCTGGACACGGCATGTCGTTTGTGCCAGCGCTGGACTCGGCACAGCAAGCATGGCGGTACGTGGAGCTGTTCTGACTTCGATGAGTAGAAGCCCTTCACCGGCCACATTGTACAGTCGTGGCTCTTGTATTTCTACGTAGTATGTCTTGTCCTCACGGTGGGGGCGCTTTGTTGAGGAATGTGAGGATCTCCTGCCAACGTGCAAGATATCTCCGCACCAAGTTCTTTTCTGTTATGGTTATTCTCACAGGATGGTGGATGGAGACTGCATAAGGCCGCCCGAAAGACCTAAGAAACCCCAGGTCATGGGGTTTTCAACACCCCCCTCGGGCCACCCTAAACCCAAAACCCGAATAGCCAGGGCTGCCGATCAGGCCAGACGTGAAGCTCTGGAGCGTGGCTGTGGTATTGTTGGGCGTCAGGCTAAGAGTAGAACCTAAGCCGCCAAATGACGAGTAAACCCTAAACCCTCCAGTGTTTGTGGCTTGGGTATTGGGTTACAGTATATGGGCTTGAGGGTTCAGGGTTCCAAATTTGAGCGCTGCATCCGGGCTTCGTGCGTCGGAGGATAGGGTCCTTACAAACTCCCCTACATTCAAACACCCCGCATTTCTACTCGGAAGAGCATATGCAGTTGTCAGATCCCTTTCATACATAGGCCCTTATGGAGCCTTTGTAATACCCTTAGAAGCACATTGAAAACACCAACAGGATCCAGAGGTTGCTTTGGTCATCCCAGGCCAGCCTCACCAGTCGGAAGTGGACGCTGAAGGACGTTTGGGGGTGGTATGTCGTAGTTGCAGGTTTCGGCAGGCGTTTAAAGACCTTTGCTTGAAGTTTCGGGGAGAGTTGTGCCGATCACTTTGAACACCCAAGCCTAAATTGGCACTAAAGCTCACGACAGCAGGACCTGTATCCCCAAACCCGAAGCCACAGATTCTTTGTTTGTTTCAAGACACGAAACCCTGAGCCCTAAACCGGGGAGCCCAGATCTCTAAACGTTGCAGGGGGGATGAGGGTTTAGGGCTGACCTTGACCCCAAATAACCTACCGTTTTCAGGATAATAAAGAAACCTAAAAAGGTAGGTTCTTTAGGGTCCAGGTAAGGTTAAGCCTTGATTGCAAATCCTCAACTTGAAACTCCCCATCCTCGCTTCTGCACATTCGTCACCACTAAGCGCGAAGTTTTTGTTTGCGCTCCGGCCATACATCCACAAACCCAGAACCCATAAACCCTAAACCATCAAGGCCCGCTGCTGACTTTAAGCACCCTTCACCCACCCAACCGCCCGAATCCGAACGTGCTGGCTTTTTTCTCGCAGGAAATCCAGGAAGCCGATGAGACCATGCTGGAGGAGGGCGGGTCAGTGCATGGTTTTCTTTATTGTTTGGGTTTGAGGGTTTGGGGTCTTTTGGTTCAGGAGGATTTAAGGTTCCGGTTTGGTGTTATGGCTTTCAGGGTGTACGTTCTAGTCATTGCGAAAAGGCGATTGCGGCAGGAGTAGTTGACTTTTGAGTTTCACCGCTGTGCCAAGCAAGGAAGTAGGACAGGGGCTCTCGATTTCTTACCCATGCAACGCACCCAGCTTGCAAAATGCTATACTGTTGTTGGATTGAGAGTATCTGTGAGTATCCTCCATTTCTCAGTCAGTCTGGAGGTTCCAGCCTGAACTAAGAAATCCATCAGAGGTGCATTCAGCCTCTGAATGATTGAGAAGCATGCGAACCAGCCACCACTACTACTGCTGCTGTACTGCTAACTGCTATCTATCATCACTGCTACTGCTGCTGCTACTACTACTTCTTCTGCTCCTGCTGCTGCTGCTGCTGCTGCTGCTGCTGCTGCCACTGTTACCGCTATGGTCAATGCTACTGCTACTGCTACTGGTACTACTACTACTACTACTACTACTACTACTAAAACTACTACTACTACTACTACTACTACTACTACTACTACTACTCCTGATGATGCTGCTGCTGCTGCTGCTGCTGCCGCTGCCGCTGCCGCTGCCGCTGCCGCTGCCGCTGCCGCTGCCGCTGCGCTGCCGCTGCCGCTGCTGCTGCTGCTGCTGCTACTGCTGCTAGTACTGCTGCTGCTGCTGCTGCTGCTGCTGCTGCTGCTGCTGCTGCTACTACGACAACGACGACGACTACAGCTGCTGCTACTTCTACTACTGCGACTACTAACGTTGATGCTAATAAGAACAATATGATAATGTTGATGGCGAGGGCGATGGCTATGGCCGTGGCGATTTCGGTGGCAATGACGGGGATGACGATGACTTTGGTTTTTTGCGACGACTGATTAGGGTTCAGGGCCTAGGGTTCAGGTGAGTATTGGGAGCCAAAACCCAGAACTCCCCTAAATTTGGGAATTGTACCCGAAATGTTCCGTTCTACCTAGAGGCAGCGCAGGGTTCATCTTTGGTAGAAGACGTACCGTAAGGATTTCGTTTAGGGTTACCAATAGAATAGTTTATTACAAGGATTCAAGGATTCCTAAATGGTTTGAGTTTCAGGGTTTAATTTAAGAATCTGGTGAGCGTATAGAGGGTTCCTTAAGTTTGTTTGCACGTGGTAATCTAAGTCAGTTTTTGGATTTGAGGTTGAAGGTTTCCGGGTCTGTTTGTTTAGCGGAATGCGAAAAAGACTTTCGCATGTATATCCCAGTTATGGTAAGTTGAGTTAAGCTACTTAACAAGAATTGAGTTGCGGTTCATCCATGGTCGGATGCTCCACGACAGACTGCTTTCAGGGTTTGTGGTATGGTTAAGGCGGGATTATAGGGCTTTAGGGTCTTGTTTCGCTTGTTACTTTTTGAGAGTTAGGGGCTGGGGTTTAGGAAAGTTTAGGGATTTCGGGCTTAGGTTTCGGGTTTAGATTTCAAGTGTGTAGAGCAAAGCATGTGGGGTCGAACAAAATAGGACTAGCTATAGTATGCTCTTTCTGCAGTACGACTACGTATGCGATAATATACCGCAAGGCCCTGTGTTCAGACACAAGTCTATAGCTTGCACAAGCAGCGTTGGGTCCTCAAGCTCTTATAACACGCAACCTTCCAACCCCAGATGATACTCTCTTCATCCCAATCCAAAGCCTTGAGGGTCCACCGATGCGCCAGAAAATTCCATGTCCGTAATGGAACGGGCCCATAACACTGAATTCAAACTACCCTCGCGATTGGAACCCCCCAAACACGGAGTACCCTAGCTTGCACTGTGGCAGGTAGTGTCAAAGGTCTACGCAGATCTGGATGCGCAGATTCGCCAGGACTTCCCGAACGACTTGCCTGTCATGTATCCTTCCAATAAGCTGCTGTTTGGATGCTTCGAAGGAAGCCTTCATTCAGGAGGTAATTGTAGTATGTTTTCGTGTTCCTCATTGTCAAGACTCTCTTCTAATTCTTGAGTCCGAGTCTTTAGGCCCGAAGCTGTAGAGGCGGGGCAAGGCTAGCCGTCGTTGTTCTTCTCGTGCTGCACCCTGGGTTTCCGGTTTAGGGCCGTTTACGATTATTTTTTGCCTAAACCCTAAACCTAAAAACATCACAAGCCTGGGCAGGAGCTCTTCTTTGCACAGGGCCTGCAGCTGCAACTAGCGGTGGCCACTCGTCCCTGGAGCACAAGGCGCTTTGAGCACTTCGCGGTTTCAGGCCTCTATATGTAGAACTAAATAAAAATAGTGCATGGGTATTTCTCGAAATTAGGGTCCCTTTTGGGGTCCTTTTTGTAAGAGTGCCGTACTATATTGGGGTCCTTAAACGGGACCCTAATTTAGAGAACTACCCATGTGGATCCGAACATATAAATAAATAAATAAATCAATAAATAAATAAATAAATCAATAAATAAATAAATAAATAAATAAATAAATATATATATATATATATATATGGTACCCCCCCCCCGGTACCTAGGTCTGCTCTTTTCCCTCAGGAGCATGAAAACCAAA